GCCGACATACTGCCAACGTTGGCCCAAGAGTCGTCTTTAAGTCAGACTCCTCTAATGTACGTTGGGCCGACGTCGTGCCGCGATTGATATGACAACCGAGTGCCGACGTACTGCCAACGTTGGCCCAACTTTGGCCCGACGGTGGCCTGAAGTTGTCTTCAAATCAGTGTCGGCTAACGGAGCCTGGGCCGATGTCGCGCCGTGATTGGCGTGACAACCGAGTGCCGACATACTGCCAACGTTGGCCCAACCTTGGTCCGACGCTGGCCTCAAGTTGTCTTCAGATAAGGGTCGGCTATCGGAGGTTGGGCCGACGTCGCGCCGTGATTGGCGTGACAACCGAGAGCCGACGTACTGCCAACGTTGGCCCAATCTTAGTCCGACGGTGGCCTCAAGTCGTCTTTAAATAAGGGTCGGCTAACGGAGCCTGGGCCGACGTTGTGCCATGTTCGATTAATGACAGTCAGTTTGCCGTGATGTCGCCAACGTCGGCTCAACGTTCAACGTCGGCTGATAGTCGGCAAACCTTACCTGGAGCTGCTTTTCCGCGTATCTCGAGTTCTTTGTTCTGAAGCGCTCGCGAATCTCCCTTGTTTATTTAAGGCTCTTATTTCCTCAGTCGTGCCTTTATTTTAATGGCAATAGGTTTTATCTGCTTCCTGAGCCCTTTGTGATTGATGCGCGTGTTTCATGTTGCATCGTTATGCATTTTATAAGTAATTACGCGTTTTTATTCGTTCTTGGTGGATCGGCGCTATTTCCTCGTGTTTATTCGATTGTAAATTATGATGTTCGTTATTCCTTGTCTTTTGGCGGTGTTATCTATTTGTTCTCATGCATTTTTCTATTAGTTTTTCTATTATATCGGTCGCGCAGGCGCTGTGCGCGCGGCGTTCGAACGCGACGGTTTCAGTAGTCTATCCTATAGTTCTACGCGCTTGTAGTTGGCACGTATTGTATTATTTGCTATGCTCCGTGCTAGCGTTCGCTTGGTAAACGGCCGGGGTGCTATAATGTAGCGCGCTGGACGTTACATTTTTATTTGCGTTGACTTACCTTATGTATTAATCTCAATTATATATTTTTTGTGTTTTTGTTATGTATCAGTTTAATTCATTTATAACTCTGATTGTATTTTTTTGAGTTTTTCAATCTCAGACCTTTGTACTTAATTTTATTCTTATAGAGAGATATTTTTTAATTATTATTAATTTATTCAAAATTTTGACTATACAATTACTTGCGTTGACTCACATTATGTATTAATCTCAGTTATGTTTTTTAAGTTTTTGTATGTATCCGTTTAATTTATTTATAGCTT